ATCCCTTTTTATGTATATAGAAACACATCTCCATATTTGCATATATACATAAAATTGAAACTGTAGCAACCAGGAGAACATTTCTCTTTCATTATCTCTGAATGTTGAAATAATTTCACTTCTTGATGTTTTCAATGTAATATTTTTCTTCTAATGGAATTGAAATAAACTTCTATACCCATAGTTCATAAGTATGTTTTAAGGATATTTCATAGTAATGACTGTATAACTCACTTCCGGCTCTAATTATGCTATCAGTCATAGCACATATAGCTTGTTAAATACAAACTTGTGTACCATAGTTGCATTTTGGTAAGAAAATGCAATTTTTAAATCATTTAAAAAATAATCCATAATTCAGAAAGGTAAATTGGAAAGGCATAATTATTTTTTTCTGATACTAAGCAAAACCTGAGTGTAGGAAGTCATTGCTGAAGTGAGCTCCAACTTCATCTGCATTTTGCTTTTGACTTCTTGAAGGTAGAGTGTAGCTCTTCAGTGGATCATGAGTCCTACACTTCACACTTAAGTAATGGGGAGAAATAAATGAAAAATGTGTGTTAGTCATATTTAAAAGCAAGAAAATTTCCTTGCCATGAGTCTATGATGTAGTGCAATAATATATGATATACTGTGATTGATATGATATAACATAGTATGATAAAATAGATTGCAGATGATAAATGGGGTTCCCGTTAAGGATCCACCCATGCATGTTTCCCTATCTTTATCAAATTCACTGATATAAAACCTTTCTGATTTCTTCACTTTCTCATATTTTATTCATCCTTCAACCAGCTGCAATTTGATTTCCATATCCACTCTCAGCTGATCACCCACCAGCAGCCTCCTGGATATCTGACCCTATGGACGCTTTTCCTACCTTTCTCCTCAGTATTTGATATTATTGATCATTTCTTGTTTGACATGTGACATATCCCAACTAGGGGAGTGTATTAATATTCTAGTTCTGCTGTAACAAATTCCCAAAAACATGGATATCTCAGTATAGCAGAAATGGTCCTCTTTCTGTTTGGGGACTAGCAGGCCCAAACAAGCTGTGCATGGTATGCACCCTCAAAACCTCTAGGGTAAGATCCTTTCTTGCTCCTTGAACTGCTGGCACTCCAGACATTCCTCTTCCAAAAGAGTCAGCCAAGCACAAGTTGCAAAACCACAGAGAGCAATACATGTTACACTGAAAAGTGAATACACTCATGAGCAGGTCAGTGGATTTGTGAAACACCTCAGGCCACTCCTTGATTCTATTTTGACTCGTGATGTTTTAGGATCAGTGGTTCGGTGATTTTTCTTTCGAGGATAAGTGAATTTTTCAGGATCAGTAAAGCAATTAACGTATGATTTGGAACTAAAGGGAACTGTTTGATTAGAGATGATGTTTTGAAAGTGGAATATTAAAACCTCAGCTCTCCCTGCAAATTGTTTAGTGACCATGGGGAATCATTTCATTTCTCTTTGTATCTCATGGAAAAAATGTATTGGCTATGTAATATTCCACTTTGCATATTTTGTGGTTTATGTTGAGGTAAAAATCACAGGGTAGCTGATTTCACATCCCATATTCTTGCTCAAACTTTTAATCTTTTAATGGGACTACTCCATTTATTCAGCTGAGGAGACACTGAGGTAATCATCCAAGCATCCCACGGTGCAAGCATGGCATGGTTCTCAGAGTGTCTGTACTCACTGTTGCCCAGTTAAAAGGAAAACCCGTTATCATGATCTAATCATACAAAATAAAAGATTCAGTGGACAGAGGACTAATATTTAGAATATAAAAAGGACTAAAAAATTTAGACACCACCCCTAAAACAAGACTCAATCAAGAAATGGGCAACTGAACTGTGCACACATCTCAGAAGTTCAAACATCCAATAAACACATGAAAATGTTCCACACAGTGAGTGGGCAGTTAGAGGAATGAACATTAAAACCACACCGAGGTACCATCTTACCACAGAAAGAGTGGCCATCATCAAAAAGTCAAATAATAACAAATGCTGGCAAGAATGTGGGGGCAAAGAACAATATTGGTGTACATTGTTGCTGGGGATGTAAACTAGCACACTGTGGAAATCAGCGTGGAGATTCCTTTAAAAATTAAATATAGAAATTCCATTTGACCAGCTAGTCCTCTTGTGGATATCTTCCCCAAAGGGTTGAAGTCATCATATTACTAGGATACATGTTTATAGCGGCACAATTTATAGTAGCCAGATCTTGGGAATAGGGTACAGTACACTCCCACAAAGCCGCAGCTCAGAGTGCATGGGTTTTCCTTAGACCCTAACTAATAATTGTTCTCAGAAACCACAAGTATCCTGTTCAGTTGTTTTTTTGGCGGGAGGTTCGCAAGTAGCCGGCTGGGAGCGTTATTCAGTTGTCCTTGCCGCTGGCTGGCCGCTGCGCTGTAATCCACCGCGGCAGAGCACCAGCTTCCGGCATCAGAACAGGGCGCTCTACCGCACGGAGCTATCTCCAGCGTTCTCGGTTTCGTTCTTCTTAAAGCCCCAAGATCCCAAAGATGCCGCCAAAATGCCCTGCAGCCGATGAGACTTTATTATTTTATTAAATTACAGTATTTTATTAAATTAAATTACATAATTGTGGGAGACAGAATATTTAGGGTTTAAACTGTAAAAATAGGCATTTATAATCATTTTTCTGACATATCTGAAATTCACAGCTTTTAATAATTCATAGATACTCTAAGAACATAACCCCCACAAATTTGGGGGGTTCACTGTATATGTCCATCATCAGATGAATAGGTAAAGGAAATCGATATTTGAGACATTAAGCAAATGGATGCAACTTGAGAACATAACATAAAGTGAAGTAAGTCAGACACACAGGCTTAAACATCACAGGTTTTTATTTGCAAACTAATGTTGAGAAAGAGAGATAGAGAACAAAAAGAAGACAGATAAAGAGGAAGCAGGGAGAAGTTCAAACAACTCTGGAAATTATTCTGTTGCTTCAAAATATTTTCAGATAATTGCTAATTTGTTATACTTATACATACTGTTAGTTCTTTTGTTCATTCAGAAGAAAGCTTTGTCCTTTTATTTTTTTCTTCCTAGTAAGAGAACCATTTTTGTCTATGACTTGTACTCTGAGTAACATTTTAGCCATTTTTTCAAGATCCTGCTACATAATGTATTAACCATTTTTTATAAAACCTTGGTTTTTTAGAGAAGTTTATCTGTGTAGTTTGAAAAATAGCATTTTTTAATTCTATGTATGATGCTGTCAATGGAAATACCATAAAAAGGACCAATATTTACAATTTTTTGTTGAAGTTTTATCCTTTATTTAGATGGGTGTAGGTTATACCCTACAGTGCAGTCTCTGATGCTCATGTAAATGGTTTTTAAGAGGATAAATTATGTAGACAGCCAAAGTTCCCAGGAATACTTACTAAATTTCCTTTTCTTTACCTCATCCTTCTTTTCTCTTTTTTTCTGCTCCCACTTTTTTCTTTCTTCTTGTGAATAATTCCAGCAGCTATTTATAAAAAGCCAAAACTATCATTGCTTGGGGTCATTGGAAGGTAATGTGGCCCCTCAAATAATGTTTTCTCAAATACACTGGTCAAAATGAAACAATTTAGAGACAATTGAATTATGGTAGACAGTTGCCCCTACTCTCATATGAATATACAAAGCAATATAGTTGTATTATATTCTATATATATAGAATATACTAGCATAAATATAGCTTGGCTTGATAAAATTTTTAAAGCAGGGGTTATCATAACATTTTGTTATCATACCATGTTTTCATACATGGGGAAACAAAGGCCAAAGAATTCCTTAGATATTCAAGCTCTGTTTAATTACCAAATCTTTACTGTATCATTGATATATTATGTAAACAAAGTAAAAGTCAAGTTTTTGCTCTCCTATTATCCTTTTATTAGGATATAGCCTTAATTTTTCCATTCTACCAACTTTTACTTTGAGATGAGGTTTAAAATTGGTGGTAGGACAAATTGTGTCTCCTGCTTCTCCATCTTGTAACCTAGGCACTCCTTTAGCATTTTTATATGCCTAAGGCTTGTTTGAAAAACTCTTTTCTCTTTCAATAGAATGCAAAGCATTCTGTCAAGAAGTATATATATGTTCACACACTTTCCATACATGACTAGATATATTTAAACCTCACTCACAAAGTCAGATCTCAAATATTTCTGTATTGACTATAAATATATGCAAACATTACACAGACTGTTTTTCACCTTTGAGTATCCATACTTAAATATATCTGTATATTTAATATTCAGTATGTCTATTTTGATACTGAAAATCTTTTAGCTGTTAACCATGGCTCAATATTCAAACACTACATGCTGATTTAATTAGCTGTAAGAAAATTATTATTAAGGTGACTTAGACTTGTGGAAAAAGCTGCCTCAAGTCATGGTAGATCATGTCATTTAATTTATGAAACTCACCTCTTAACCCAGGGCCGTTCTCTGTGACCCTCTCTTGGCCTTTGGTATCCATAAAATAATTATTGCATAAATGGAAAATATTAGGAAACTATCCTCGTAACAGATGCTTGAATCATCTCCTGCTTATGCTTGTTTCTTCTGAGTCTGCATTCACCCAAAGTGCAGTAGCTTCTTTCATTTCTGTCTCTATTTGTTTTGATTGTTTATTTTGACTTAGACAGGTTGGTTTTGGGCAACACTGCTGACAGGGACCAAGCTAAGACCGCTCAGTAGTTTTGGAAAGGCCAGTGAGAAGTAGGAAAGTGGAAATTACTTTCAGATATCGATAGTCTGCAGCAGGTTTGGGTCGGAAGACCAGCAATGCAGCGTTCTGTATCCTATTACTCATCAACTGAGTCACTTGTTCCCCTCGTCCTTTAATCAGTTCCTGTTATTTTGCAGAGTGCTTTGGAAATGTTTTCACTTAAGTGTGGGAAATGATGATCTTCTTTCAAACCTTTAACTTGTTTCTTTTTTTCCTTAGGGATGCAGATCTGTTCCTGTTAGATACAAGAAAAACGCAGGCTGTAGATGTGGGCTGGCTTGTCTTCGATATCACGGTGACCAGCAATCACTGGGTGATCAATCCACAGAACAATCTGGGCCTACAGCTCTGTGCAGAGACGGGGGATGGTGAGCACTGAATTTCATATATTTTTTGTGCAACTTGTTCTATTATGGAAAAAAATCATAACAAAATAATAGGAGAATAACACTAGTTAATACACTGTGTATTATTATCTTCAAAGTAGTTACTCAGATTCAAAACATGGACATAAAAGTTTCTCCAAATAATATTAGCACAATCCTGTCTTTTCATTGAACTATGAGAAACTAGTAGTATAACAAACTTGTATATACTTTTTTCCTTTTCTTTTCCTTCTTTTCCCCTTTTCCTCATGCTAGTTCCTTTTTTCTTTTGAACAATTTCTTCCCATTTCATAATATCTATTGTACATTTAGACCTTATTTACTGTTTCAGTTTCTCACACCAGGGAGATAAAGTGATGTTTATACATGTGAGTGTGATTTATTTCACTTATGAGTTTGGTCTCAAGTTGCATCCATTTACCCAGAAATGTCTCAAGGTTTTCCTTTTTTTATGGCTGAATAGTACTCCATTGTAAAAAAAAACACATCTTTTTTTTCCACTCCTTGGTTGATGGACACTAGGTTGTTTCCAAGATTTAGCTATTATAAATTGTGCTGCAATAAACATGGGTGCACATATATCACTGTGGTATGATGTTTTTAATTCTGGGAAGATATCCAGAAAGGGAATAGCTAGGTCAAATGGGACTTCTAATCCTAGGTTTTTTTTTTTTTTTTTCCCGGTACTGGGAATCTAACTCATGACCTTGCACTTGCCAGGCAGGCGCTGTGCTGCTGAGCTAAATCCCCAGTCCCCGTAGTTTTTAAAGGAATCTCCACACTGATTTTCACAGTGGTTATAGTGGGCTACACTCCCACCAACAGTGGAAAAGGATTCTTTTTTCCCCACAGCCCCTCCAGCATTTGTTATTGGTTAATTGCTTGATGATAGTCATTCTTTCTGGAGTGATATGGAATCTCAGCATTGTTTTAATTTGCATCTTTTGAATGACAAATGATGTTGAACATTTTTTCATATATTTATTTGTCATTTTTATGTCTTCATCTGAGAAGTGTGTATTTATCTTAGATGCCCACTTTTGGTTTGGGTCTTTGAACTTGGGGGGTTCTGACTTATTTTAGTTCTTTATATGCTCTAGATATAAATCCTTTGTCTGAGGGACACTGGATTAAAAGTTTTTCCTATTCTGTGGGTTGTCTTTGCATTCTTTATGTGATTTCTTTTGCTGTGCAAAAGATTTTTAATAGGGTTGGATCCCAGTCACTGAATTTTGTGTTATTCCTAGTGCAGTTGAGGTTTGGTTCATGAAATCTCTGCTTACACCTATGTCTTTAAGGGTGCTACCTATTCTCTCTTCCAACAGATTCAGTGTTTCTGTTTTAATATTTAGGTGTTTGATCCATTTTGACTTTAGTTTGGTGCATGGTCTAGACATGGGTCTACTTTTAGTCTTTGGCACGTGGAGAGTCAGTTTTTCCAGCACCATTTATAAAAGATGCTTAAATTTTTTTTATTTTTATTTTTTTGTCTTTTTGAGACAAGGTCTTGCTATGCAGTTCAGGCTGGCCTTGAGCTCACTTTGTAGCCTAGGCTGATCTCAAACTTGCAACAATTCTTCTGACTCAGTCTCCCAAGTGCTGGGATTACAGGCATGTGCCACTACACCTGGTTGATGCTTAAATATTTAGAAATATACTATATGGAACTTTGCTGTGGTCATGCCCCTGCACTTAGAAATGTTACAATGAGGCCTAAGGAAGGTAATCTTTAAAAAGAAAATGTGGGAATATACCTGATTTAAAGTTCATTGTCTTTAGTTTATCTCAGAATCAGGCAAGCGAAACATAAGACTTAGTCTGTCTCATTCATTCGTTCTTGCTGTATCACATTGAAACTTTCTTTAATAAACTACAGATTTAAGTACAGTTTGGGTCTGCCTGCGGGTTCATCCAAGGGGATTAATTACTATATACCTAAGACTTCATGGTGACATTTCTTTACCTACAATCAATTTCACGGCCTGTGGAAAATATCATAATCAATTTTGTGACTCCAAGCATTGTGTATACAGAATAAGATTGACAGACACAATTAAATAGATCACAAGGTTAGTATAGTAAAGACTTCTGTTCCTTGCATCCTGATCTAGAATGAGGAACTTCTACAGAAAGTGTTACAGAGTTTTAGACCTTCCTTCCATCCCCAAATCCAGACTTTTCCACAGATTTTAATTACAATGCTGACTTTTTGTATTGTTATGAACAATTCGAATTTTGGATTGTAGGTTATTTCTCAGTTATGGCTTTGATATTATTGTTAAGGATCCTCAGTTCAAGCAATATAAATGTAGCCTGAAGAAAGCATATATTTAAATAATCTTTAAAGAATTCTTACAATGTTTAAGCTACTGTACATTTATGGTCAGAAATGTGACTGGGAAATCAGCACTGTGAGGGTGAACCAATCATTTCTTCCCTGGTATGTGGCCTAAACAGGGAAAATTAAATTAGTGGTACATACTTCTCTCAGTCTTTTCCTTGGGGATATGCTTGAAATGTCTAACTAAACAAATCAAGAAATCTATGAAATATGATCGGTCTGTTTCCTTTTAATTTCTATCTTCCCTTTGCCCTACATGAATTTTCTTAAGTTTCTCTCTTTTCCTACTCTTTTCTTGTATCAATTCTCTCTTTTACTATTAATATCATTTGACTTCTATCATGCTGTAACTTTATATTTTGTGTTCTGATTTTCATATTTTTATATTCTGAGTTTCTCTTTCTCCCTGATTGGTTTCTATTTCATGAGTGATTTTACCTTTAAGTATGACTGTATTATCTTTTTTGAGCCTAAAATTAACATTTCACTCTTTGCAAACTTTTCTAAATTTTTGTTTACGTATTAGGTTTGAGATATGCTAGCTTTTGGTTGTCTTCTTTGTTTCTTTAATGTTGTCTAATGTGGAAAACACTGAACTCTGAAATTGGCCATGCTAGCTAGCTGGCTTTCTGTATGAAGCAATCCCTAAAGCAGATTTTAACCAGAAGTGGAACATGCGTGGCCTCAGGAAAGCAAAGTACCCTCCTGGTACCTTACTTGTGTTAGCTGCAACCTAATGGAGAACGTACATGTGACATTATTCTACGAACACGAGTAACCAGATGCTTCAGTTTGTCACACTCCTCTCATCCCCACTGTGGATGTTCTCAACATGTGACGTTTCAGCAAAGTCCACAGACCATCTTCTATTTGCAATAACAGACTCTGAATATGTTTACTTCTCAGTAAAAGGAATTAGAAATCATAAAAGAACATTACTCAGGAAAGTCGGCTTACAAATTCATTTGCTATTGTATATTAGCCCAAAATAAAATTATCAACTATACATGTTAGAAGATGTCACGCTAAGGAGTGTATGACTGGAGACAGGTAGACGCAGCTAACTTTAGAAAGAACAGTATGTCCCAATGCTAAGGTACTCTGCAAAAGCAGAAGAGAAATGATTAAGGACAAAGGGGACGAAACCAAAAGAGCCCTAGAGGAGATGCTTTTAACTGTGGTCAGCTGAGTTCGATTTTATGAAGTAAGGCTGAAGTAGGAGGAGTCACAGGGCTGGAGGAGCAGGGGTAGAAATGAGAGGAGACAGTTGTTTCCTGGTTTAGGAGACAACCTCATAAAGGGGTAGAATGGCGATGGGATGGCACACTCTGGGAAAAGGTGATGTGTAAAAGTGGTCAGAACAACTTCCATGTAGGAAATATTGTTGTGGATGCTTCTGTAAAGTGACCTAAGGAAAATCATGGGAAGAACATGAAATCTAAATCAAGTATGATACACTCTTGTCACTTCTTCATGAGTCAGTAGTGACTTTCAGTAGGCTCACTGCCTTGAGCAATCACAGTAACACAGCCGTGATTGCGTGTTAGAACAAATGTGCTTTATGAGGTCACAGTGTGTATATCTCTCATTCATAACTGCAGCTTCAGTACCTGGCATGATGCAGATTGTGGGTTTGAAAACCTCGGCTTGAATGATCATTGAATGATTTCGTGATTTAAAGCTCTTATAGGCCATCTGCCACTGGATATGTTACTCCAGAGAAAACACTCCAAATTTTGGAATGTTACTAAACTAACTGACTTGAGGTAGCATAGAAGTAGACTTTTGTGGGGTAACACACATGTAGTAGTTAAATAGTTCCAACCATAAGGTAGGAGAAAGTCAGCTATGTATATTGTTACATTTTGTTAATCCTGCCTCTGTGAAAAAAAATAGCAGAGACTTAAATACATTTTGGAAATCAAAAGGCTGTTGAAATCAAAAGTAGCCTTATGATTCCTCAGAGAGCCTATGGAAAATATGTCAGCTTGTGAAATACTGTTTTTAGAAATCTGACAAATGAATTGCAATAGATTTGGCAGGAGAGTTTGAGGATATTTTATTGACTTTTTTTTTGAAAATTCTCTGAGATCCATGTTTACTTCAGCAAAATAAAACAAAAACATAGAGCAAGCAAATAGAAAAGAAATGTAGCTGTTTCTTAATGGTGAAATCCAGCAATTCCAGACAAGCTGTTTTATCTAATTGTGTAAAATTGTTCTCAACTTTCCCAAATCCTCTTTCACAATAGTTAATGAACTTATATGATGAACTAGGCACTATTTTTCTTTTTAGTAGCAAATGACTAGGTTTAGATCTGAGTTAAATTTTACCGTAAGATTTTCAGTTCTCTACGTTGTAAAGCTATGCTACTTATCTGGTTTGTTAGTTCTTTGTTAGCATTCCTAATAAATTTATTTTAATGACCTTCCCTGAACACATATGCACAGTTTGTTACACAGATAGCAATTTAATCGAGTTCTCATGACTTGGGTTTCCCCAAACACCGTCATTTTCCATTGTTTGATGCTTTATATAATTTAAGTTTTCCAAGTAACTTAATTCTTTCTTCAATATTGGGTTTATAGAATAATTTAAGGACGGAAAAACAAAGATAGTATTTTTGAGTTCATTAGAATGT